TATATATATATACTACACTCAATCTTGTTTTTTTATATATATTTTAGGAAGAAATCCTGTCGCACCATCACATTTGATGAATTCAAGGCTGCCCTTGGAGAACTTGCCCGGAAGAAATATAAGGACAAGACCGGAGAGGATGCGGAAGCTGAGGTCTTTAAGCTGATCGAGGGGAAGGCACCGGTCATCGCAGGAGTCACAGTAAGATGTCATTTGTGCAATTCATAAAGACTCACACCCCCTTTTGACTTGCGATYGTGAGCTACAGCTCAAACGTTGTGCAAACTTTCCGACAGAGGGCCGTGGCCTCTCCGACGGTGAGCCGCCTCACAGACACCAGCAAGTTCACGGGGTCGCACAAGGAGCGCTTCGACGAAACCGGCCGCGGGAAGGGGAAGGCCGGGCGCGTAGACGTGGTCGACACATCGGGCTACGTCTCAGGATACAAACATCGAGGGTCATATGAAAAGAAAGTGAACAAACCTGGCGAGGGTAGGCCCATGTGAAGGCCAACTGCCAGGATGATTTTTTTTTAATTAAGAGTACTAAAAGAAAGCACAAAAAAATTACCATTTCATAACTTTTCCCGCCCGTTTATTTTATGTATGTTTGTGTGTGTGAAATAAAAAAAATTAGTTCCTCTCTTTGTGTGAGAACTGGAAAACTGTTTACATCTATTTTTACAAAGTCATCACCAGCTGGTACATTCCTGTCTGATAGCAAGTGACTGCCAAACACTGAGAGAAGCTGCCCTGCTATGAAAACTGAAACTCTTGTTATGATAAGGCCCTAGATATTTACCAAGCACAATGAACAAGATGCCAAGAAAAACAGAAGCAGGACAACAGCTTGATGAATAAACAACGTTGCACTTTTTAATGAAAATGTTTCTAGAATTCATATTTAATTGAGAAAAAAAGGTATAGGTAATTAGTTTTGCAGTGTATAAGATGATTAGCACAGTTTTATGGACAGAGATATATTGATGTTTTCGTTCTTTTTTTTTTCCCCTTAATTGCATTTTCAGTATTCCTTTAACCTTCACTTGTCAACTGTTGTTTATTTAGGAAATCTGCTGTTCAGGTTTAAATGATCATGAAAGCTCTTTCATTCATTTGTATGGAAGTCCTGAAAGGCCAATTAAAAATGTAGAACAGGGGGTCTCAAGCCATCTGGGTCTGGGGACCCCTTACAAGGGCGAAACAAATTCCAGGGACCCCCTCATAAACCCCATGGTGTTTTAAAAGATAATTTATTGTCATTTCAACCCCTTAATGCCATGGGAATATATATTTTTATTATGTTAATTATGTTTGTTTTATTAGTTCATTGTTCTCCATGCATTTTTGAAAGTAAAAACCATATTAACAATTTAGTGAAATGTTTTRAGAACCCCCAGGATACCTCTCACGGACCCCAGTTTCAGAACCTCTGATCTAGAATATAATCTAAAGAAAAACGGTTTTTAAACGTGAGGTACTTATTGCCGATGTGTAAATATTCCAAACCTATACAAAATAATAATTATTTTTAAAGGCTCCTGTGGGCTTCCGTACATTTGCATAGACAAGAAGAAAAACAAACAGTGTTAACAGCTTGTGTTAAAAGTCATGATCATAACTTTTGCTTTTCCTTTTTTATGTAAAACATAATTCCTTTCATGCAAACTTTAATGGATCTGCCTGTAGCTTCTAAACAATTATTGTCTTAATTTCACACAAACCAAACCAACAAGCATTTTGAGTCATTAAATTCGTGATTTCGACAAAAAAAGCAGAACTTCTACTCTACTTTATGAGCACAGTTGTACAAGATTGTATTTTTACCGTTTTACTTCAGATTTACACAGTATTTCTAATATATTTGTGCTACGATCATGTAGATATATTAAAAAGGCTTTCTGCCACGTGATCTAATTTAAAGACACTGATTTTATGTTTTTTCTGTGTTGCTGTACTTGTGCATGTTCTGTATTTTGCATCTGATTCAGAAGCATATATATAGATGACAGAGTTTGTCTCTTTCTGAAAACTGCTGTGCCTGCTGTGACTCCAGACTACTAGTCAGATTTACATATTTCCTTGCTAAAAAAACAAAAACAAAAAAATAAGTATTGAAACTGTGGGATCTTGCTTGTATCAAACTGTTTGTGTAAAGCAACCCTCTAATGCTATTCTATTTGTCTGTACCTTTTGTATGTGTGGTGCTGTCATCTAAGGCACAGATTTAACTGAAACAAAAGAAAAGCAGGGGTTTTAACTTTTACTTCAATACTGTAACGGATAAAGGGAAAACTGCAAACATACTTTTTTTTTTTCGTTTTGTAAAAACTATTTTTTCCAAGCAGACAGTATTACCTGTAGCCTGAGCTGATGAAGAATCATGCATCTGTGTTGGGTTTCCTCCGCTGCAGTAGCTTTTGAGTATTTTTATTATTAGTTTTTGTGCTTAATGCCAAATACTGTGCACCTTTTAATGTGGAAGAACATTTTTTAATTCCTTTCAAATAACTTTAAAGCTCTATTGTGTTCCAAAGTGCATGCAGTGTTTTTTTCTTTATATTTCTTACATTGCATTCTTGATTTTTAGTGCGTTATTGAAAAATAAAAACTAAAAAAAAAAATAAATAAAAAAACACTAGAACCTCTGTCACGTGTTTATGTCTGTTTTCTACTGACCTGTGAAATTCAACTAAAAGCAAAAGCTACATTCATCCCGTGCACCATATAATTCAAAGCTGGTCAGCCGAGGTGTGTGTTAAAGGTTTTGCAAGAGGAAAAGTGTGTGTGCGTGCGTGCGTGTGTGTGTCAGAGCAGCACTCCAGCCCCGAGGCAGAGGCATAAATAAAGTCACCGTGCAGCTGCAGCCTTGATGCATTCGCCCCTCTGCCACAAAGCCCACGGATGCTCGGCTGACCTAAAAAGTAAAAAGAGACACAATCTTGCCACAGATCCAGGAAACACATTATGACCTTCTCCCAGTTTCCCCCCTAAAATCATTTGTTAACATAACAACCAGACACTCACTTATATACAAAGTTTGGTGAATGAATTGCTGTTCCCTGTTGGGTGTTTACATCCAGAGGACAGCTTATACATATTCTTTCAAGGTAAGAAACGCTTCATCGAAAGGGTGAAAATGTAAATGTAGGCTGGAGTGAAATAAATAGAAAGGGAGAAAGAAAAGGGAACTTATTGCACCTCGTGCTTTTTATCCCGGTTTGCACAACTTCCTTCGAATGCTGGCTTTAATGTTCTCCACTTCCCCTAAGCTCAGCGAGCAAGCACTCGTTCGTGGCCACCAGGGACCTGCAGCATAAACACAGACGACAAATCGTGTCAACAACCAACAAGGCGGCTGATTTAGTTGTGGGTTAGCGTCGCTGCGCCCACACTGTGGATCTTCTCACCTGTGGCTTTCCTGAAGCATGCTGGACAGTTCCTGGAGCTTCTCGTCCTCCTGCACCCTCATCTTCAGACACTCRATCTCCTTTCTCAGCTCCTCCACCTCCRTCTGAGCCTCTGTCAAACACACACRGTGGAGTCGGTGRTGAGAACGGGCACGGGCTCRTGCTRTGTGMGTGTCAGCAGCTGCACCTGCCTCGGATCTGAGTCATGGGGGAGCTTTTCGTCATGGACTTGAGATACTGGCGTTCCAGCTTAATAAGCTGCTTTTGCAGAGCGACGTTTTCCTCCAAGACGATCCGGAGCTGCTCGTTGAGTTTGCCCTGCGTTGAGTTTGACAACGATGAACAACACTGCTCTTTATTTATTGATTATTTGTGACCCATCATATCGAAATGAGGATTAAGTCAAATTTGGTCAAAATGACCTAATTACATTTTCAGATTCCTGCTTTAAAAGCTACATTTTGAYACCTGGATCCTTCTGATATCATAAACTTATCCAGAGATAAGACTTAATTTGTCCTGTTGGTTACATTAATACATTACTGTTTGGTCTGAATCCCAGGGGCGGTTCTAGGGGCGGGGCCACAGGGGCAYTGGCCCCTGTTGAAMTTTGATYGGCCCCCTGAAGTGCCCCTGTCCTGTCACTCATCTGTCCTTTGCCCAAGAGCAATGCTGCTGGGTGCAGTTCCRTGTCCAAACAYTAGAGGYGCTAATGAGACGAATAGAAAAGTCCTGYATGAAYAAAGCTAATTGAAGTCTTTTTCTTTTCTTAAAATTTGAACAATCCTGCAGAAAAACTC